TGACTGCAAGGGATAATAGGGATTATATTAGGGTCCTCTTATATTCTTATTATACCACTATTATACCACTATTACAGGGTAATCATTATTCAAGCCGCAGAGTGGGAGTGTATGGATACTGTATGAAGTGCATCTGGCACAGTCTTATGTGTGACGCTGCACTTAGGGCATAGATTTTGCTTTCAGGTTGCAGAACGCCCTGCATGAGTTGACATCAAAGAGCTCCCAAGACACCGAGAGGGAGCTGCAAAACTTTAAGACTATAACACTATAGTCCATCCCTATATATACCCCCTAGATAACCCCTATATACGCATATATACTCTATAATCCTTATATAGCCCCCCATTAGGACTGTGTGGGTTCGTCGTGGCGGGCCTAACTATGCGGAGGGCTTGGCAAACATGCGAAAGACTTGCGAGGACATCCTGCTGGGGATCCACCTCTTATTCTTACTCGTATTATTGTAATTATTACTATTCTTATTCCTGTGATTATTGTTATTCTTACTATTATTCCCATTATTTCTATTATTATGACTACTGTGATTACCGTGTTTGGCAAACTGCTTGTCCCACCCCGCAGACACTGCTGAGCAGGAGATCGGTATCCCAGCGAAGGTGTATGGGCCAGAGGCCCACCTCACCTCAATTGTTCGAGACGCCCTTCTGGACAAAGAAGCCAGAAACTGGGTTGCTGTTGAGGAACTTAGATTAAGTTACCATGCTGGGTATATACAGTGAATGATAGGGTTTCTCCTATATAGTAACCTATATTAAGTTCTTTAATGACAACAACCCAGGAAATTCCAGCACTCCTGCTGCAGCCGAAGTCAAGATCCAGCAAGCTAGCTCTGCCAAGAGGCAAAGACGAGGCAGCAACAGCCTCATGGAGTTCACTGCCGAGACGCAGGCCTTCGTGTATGGAATGCAGACGAAGGCAGTCCAGCGGATGTTGGATTTCGACACGCTTTGCGGCAGAAAAGGTCCCAGCGTGGCTGCCATCGTGAATCCGACCGGTGAGGCTACGTTTGAAAAGTTCATGTTTGGCTCGGCGGATGTCTTGATCCCAGTGTACACGTCTCTGGCGGATGCTGTGGAAAAGCATGGGAAAACACCCAAGATGCTGGTGAACTTCGCTTCCTTCCGCTCTGTTTACAGTGCCACCATGGATGCGCTGAAGTATGCTAGCGTGATCAAGACACATGCTATCATCGCAGAAGGCGTTCCTGAGGCCCTGACGCGGCGTTTGCACTACGAAGCGGAAAAAGTGGGGGTCGCCATCATTGGGCCAGCTACGGTGGGGGGCATGATGCCTGGCCGCTTCCGCATTGGCAACGCAGGTGGGGCAGTGGACAGCCTGTGCGGAAAAGATGTCTCTTCATGGTGATAGTGTAGTCAGTCTTCTTCTGAGAGAGCTCTGTCCAGTGTGTTTTTGGAGCTCTGCAGGTCAGCTGTCCATGTAATGTACTGCAGGTGGTGCTGTTGAGAACCTAGTGCTGGCAAAGCTGTACCGTGCTGGTTCCGTTGGCTACACCACTAAGTCGGGCGGCATGTCCAATGAGCTTAACAACATCGTAGCACTCAACACCGACGGTGTGAGAGAAGGCATCGCGATCGGAGGTGACAGGTGGCCTGGGCTTCGTTTCCTCGACGTGTTGCTCCGCTTTGAGGCCGATCCGGACATCAAGATGATGGTGTTGCTGGGAGAGGTCGGCGGCCGCGAGGAGTTCCTTGTGGCAGAAGCCATCCAGGATGGTCGAATCACAAAGCCACTTGTCTGCTGGTGCTGTGGCACGGCTGCAGAGGCCTTCGACTATGATGTGCAATTCGGCCATGCAGGTGCACGAGCTCGTGCTGCTGATGAGACTGCTGGGGCAAAGAACCGGGCTCTTGCACAGGCAGGCGCCCATGTGCCACGCAGCTTCGACGAGTTTGGCGACCTCATTGCCTTGGTTTACCAAGCACTCGTTAAGGCCTGGCTGTACCAAAATGTGTTTGTCTTGTGCAAGTCGGCCTCATCTCAGATCTGGCAGGCCGGTGCGATCGTGCCTGCTAGTGAGCCTCCCGTCCCGAAGCTTCCCAGTGACTATGAGTCGCTTCGAAAGAAAGGCTCCTTGGCATTTCTGTGTACCGAGGCCTTTACATCCACTCACAATGATGCTCTGACTGGTGTTTCAGCTTCTGACCCAATACCCTGAGACCAGTATCAGGCTTGGTGCGCAAGCCGGCAAACTTTGTTTGCTCCATCTCCGATGACCGTGGGGCAGAACCCACGTATGCTGGGGCACCCTTGCTGAAACCGTGAGAGTTTTGAAGATTGAGCCGTTCTGGACTTCAGAGTGTTGACTAAACCAGCATTACCGCTGAGGGGACGAGTGCGCTATGAACTTCGTTGAGATCCCCATGCCAATTCGCTTAATTTTGGAAAGGGCCAGTTAGCTAGATCGTTTTTTTCCAGGGCCATGGGCACCATGCAGAGACAGCGTTCCCCTCTACACTAGTCCTCTAACTCCGACTGACCTTGCATCGTACGGCAGCTGGTGTGAAGCCGCTGTCAGGAGTAGGCATTGCTGTCCACAGCGTGTGCCCTTGGCAAGGTCCCTATATCTGAGATCGCCAAGGATGAGGCAGGGGCAATGTCAAGTCTAGGGCATCTAGGGTGTTTAGCAAGGGCGCTGTTTTTTTTCAAAGTCTGCCCGAATCAGACAGTTTTGCGTCTTGCCGGCTTTTGTGACGTCTCATGGGGTGCGTTTACAATGACAACCTCGTCAATCCAGCCCCTTAAAGCACCTGAAGAATAGCCGCAACTCCTTCCACCACCGTCTCTCTTGACACTGCTGACGAAGGAACTGGGCATTGGTGGTGCCATCTCCCTGCTTTGGTTCAGGCAGGGAAGACGCTGCAGAAGCAACCACCAAGCTGAGACAATTGCAGAACATAGCACGCTTCATGAGGTCCTTGCTGCAATGTTTGCCAAAGCGAATCTTAACAAAGTCATCAGTCATTAGTTTAGATTCATACGGTCAGACAGGAAGAGGCTCCCACGCTATGTCTCCAAGTTCATCGAGCTATGTGTCCTGGCATGCAAAGGGAAACTTCTTGCTCTAGAAGGATATAGCAACACACGAATGCCATAAGCTGATGCTTCCGATGCGCTCGGCCTTTGGAGATGTTTGCAGGTGTGGTTGCGACCGCAGATCATGGTCCTTGTGTGTCTGGCGCGCCACTCTGCTGTCTTGCTCGTACAGGGAATCCTTGGCAAGGTACAAGTCACGAAAGCTAGCGGAGCTAGGCTTGAGTTTGGTCTTGCTCTAGCACTAGTAGCTGTCAAGGTCTGGAAAACGTCGGATTGTATGATATATCACAGGATGGGAGGGGGGGTGGCGACAGTGATTATTTTATAGCAAAGTGGAGGTTTGGGGGGGGAGGAGGGGAGGGAGGTCGAACGTGATTCTTTCACAGGAATCGTAAGTTTGGAGGGTCTGCGTGTGTCCAACACTTCTTTAAGTTCGCTGCTGGTCTGAAACATAAAGCTTCCCAACTGGTGACATCTGCCTTTCCACCAGCAGTTCCAACACTATTAATTGTTTGATTACGTATCACTGCTCTATTGACTGTAAATCTGAGAGTGTCGCTTGGTTGTCTTGCTATTGTTCTTGTTGTGAGGTCGGATGTTCTATCCGTTTGTATATTTTCTCTGTTGGTATTGCATGTTAGTTGTTATTAGCACTCGCTCTTTGGTATAATCTTGCGTTCGTGTTTAATGGTTGTTCTCTCACTAATGATTGATTCTACGTAGTTATATCACACGTTACGTAGTTTTCCAGACCTTGAAGGCTACCACTGGCTAAGGCAAGACTGAACTGAAGCCTAGCTCCCCTGATTTGTGCTTTTATGGCGGCTGTTGTAGGGTCTGCTTTTTGATGAGATTGAAGACTGAAATTGATTTCACGAGAAGTAATGATGTTTAATGATCACTAGCGTAGATATATCCGCATCTAAATAAAATGCTCCTGTCGGCGTCCAAAATAAGTTCCTGGCTTAAATATAGGTGCTTACGTTGTCCCACCTACATGCTGTTCAGAAAATTGACACATTGGGGTCTGCTCCTGTTCCTACATTCCACTTTTATCCTTCCTACCTTTACTTCACCTGTTGATGCGTCTAGTATTTCCGTACGTGTCTGTGCTCCTCTGGTTGTTCAGCAGTTTAATTTTCTATTCCTGAACTCCCAGGATGTTTCTGGTGGTCCAATCAAACTTCCCGGCTGTACTCTGTTTGTCGTGGTTCACAGTTCACGACGGTTGTATGGTCATGGTATGGGTGTGGTAGTCGCTTCAAACCTCCGTACTTATTCCATCGTTTGCCATACCCCGGCAAGTTCACAATACAGATAGCATGATGCTGGTGGGTTTTAAAGGCATTGCCCCGCTTTGTGTTCACAATCCTTGCAAAGTCATGACACGCATAAACCGTGCTGGTCGTTTCGTCAAACCTGCTCATGCATGGGCAAGTTTAGTGAGCACTACAGGAGTGGCACGGTCTCAATAAAACAAGAAATTGCTTGTTTCAAGACCAGGCAAAGGCATCGAACACAACAGGAGGGAAAGGTGCAATGCAACAACCCGGCATGATGATGTTTGCCGGGTAATGATCACTACAGGGGCCAGGATATGAATAGCATCAAGCTTGATGGTTGTACTGAGGCTCCCTGCTCCGTCTTTGACTATGCATGCCCTTGAACGGTCATGGGACCGAGCACGTCATGCCTGGTCGTTGCATGTCGCCTTCTCCTCTTTTGGTGTTTGTTCCCTGCGTGCGATTTGTACGAGTACCGCTTTGTTGCATCCAATGTTGTGGCCCAGAGCGCGGGTAAGTTCACTCTTCGTAGTTGAATCAAATACGTCTCTTCCCTTTGCAACATCTTGGCTAGTTGTTCCATGCAACCTTCCTATTGCTGAGTGCTCTGCAGAAAGGGGTCCTGTTTTCAATGTTGCGATCTGGGAATTCATGGCCGAGCAAGCTCGTTGCGCATGTGTCCGCAAGCGTCCGCAACGCGTCCACAAGTGTTCGCAAGCGTTTCCAAACATTCGCGCCGTCACCATCCTCGTACAGGTGTTGTGGCTTTTGGACTGTCGTTGTTGCGTCTCGTGTCAAAGGTTCACTCAGTCACGGGGCATGGGGCCGGGCGGGGTGGGGAAGCGTTGCTGCTTTGTGGTGTGAAAAGTTCATGATCAGGGCCAACAGTCACAGGGATGCTGCACCTTGGGTTAGCCATCTTGGTAACTTTATCTGCTTCTGGAAAGTCACGTCCTTGTTGCACGTGAAGAGTGACAGGGATGAGACCCCTTGGGTTCGCCATCCTGGCCATTGTCGCCACTTTTGGAGCCTCGTGTCTTCATCTCATGTAAGACATGCCCACTGTCGCAGGCAAGGGCGCCTTCAGTTTGCCATGCTCGCATGTGGTCGTGTCTTCGTCGCATGCGACCCTGTGGTCGGGATGGGACAGTGAGACTCGCGATCCTCGTGCCAGTCCTGGCTTTTGGACGTTGGCAGAGAATGCCGGGACTATGCTACTTGCGCCAGTGCGGAATGGAATGGAGTGGAAGGGACAGGTGCGAGGGGAAAGTGCGGTGGAAAGACGTGGAGAGTGAGGTGGAAAGCAGTGGAAGGTGGAGTATAGATTGGAGAGTGGAGTGGGGAGTGCATTGCAGAGTGGAGTGGTGAGTGATGCAGAAAGTGAATCAGAGTGGAGTGGAAACTGGCGTGGTCTCTGGAGTCAGGGTGGAATTCAGAGTAAAGTCAGAGCTAGCCTGGACGGTGGAGTGAAACGTGGAGCAAAGACTGGGAGAATGGGGAAAGTGGGGAGGAGAGAGCTGGAAAGGCAAGTGGAGTGCAAAGTGAAGTGCAAAGAGAAGTGGACACTGGAGTCGAGTTGGCGTGGTTCTGCGAAGAGTTTCCAGGCCCCTTAACGAGGCTTGTGCTTTTTGCTGGCATGTACCTTCCTTCCTCCTCTTTGGAGTGCTAGATAGAGCCTAGCTAGCTTTCGTCGGCCTTGCCTCTCCCATCAAGTGAGATTACTTTGGAGATGCAGCTGGCTGTCTTATGCCAGTCAGGGAAGTCACAGAAACGTAAGGCACAACACCATCGTGGCAGCACGAGCTGGAAAGGATCTGGTTTCCTCGCTCATCTCTGGTTTGGCAACCATAGGCCCATGCTGCTTCCTCCAGTGCGAGCTTTTTGATTGTGGCTCCTGATGTTTGGGTCATGCCTCAAAGTCCGAAGGTCCTCGTTTCGGTGGTGCGCTGGACGATGCAGCGCGGATGTTTGCTGCAGCCTTGGACGGAAACCTCACTGCTGCGGCGTTCGTTGAAAAGTGCCGCTGGGCTGAAAAAGTCAGGCGAGGAGAACTGAGGCAGTCTTGTGGTAGACAGGCCCTACATGCACCAGACCACCCGTGGTGTCCAAATCTCCTGAGTTTCGAAGGCAAGCAGGACAAAACCGTCATCATGGGCATCGGGCATCGGGTCAAGTCATTGGACAATCCGGACGCGCGGGTCGTTCTTATCAAGGAGTATGCACCTTGATTTTCAGCTGGTGCTTGCAAATGCGGAAGGCCTTGCTTGTTCTGGCATGGGCTATGCTAGCTCTGTATACGGGCAGTCCAATCCTGCCCCAAATTTTCGGGACCTCGCTGCCAATCACGGGCAAGCAGAGGATTCAGTTCTGGACAGATGCCATGAAAGTTTGGTTGACTGCTGAGGCAAAGGCTCACTTCCCTGCCACGCCTCTCCTGGATTTTGCTTTGGCAGTGGAGCAGATCACCACCCGGAAAAAGGTGCCGGGGATTGCCGGGCTTTTTTTTTTTTTTTTTGCGAATGCAGGTTGCTTGTATCCTCCTGGACCTTACTGTGAGTGTTGTGTTTTCAAAGCATTCCTCTTTTTGAGGCCAACCTTATTCTGAATGTTGATGGCTGTATCGCCGTTTGCTTCGTGGACTTGCTGCGGGGCTGCGGTGCTTTTACGAGGATATTTTCATCATTTGCTGATTCACTGACTTTACGTTGCCTGAAGAAGATTGTAGGTTTTGCGTTCTTGAGGAGCGAGGCTGATGAGCTGGTCTCCAACGGGGTGCTCAACGGTCTCTTCGTCTCGCCGCTCGTTCTGGCATTAGAGGGGTTTAGAGGACTCACAAGGTGTGGGGTGGAACATGCAGGGCGACATTGGTGCCTAGGCTGCGAAACCCTACATGGTAGGTTCCATTTGCTTTTCCATGATCCCTATAGAACCCCCATATAACCCTAAAGCTTCTGGGTTTAGACTTCAAGTTGTTGACGGGGACACGTGTGTGGCGTACACAAGTCCTCAGGTCACGGACCATCGGCCTGGTGGGCCATTTCCTGGATCAGAGACGTCTGAAGCAGCCGCTTTACAGATGCACGGTCCAAAAAGTAGATTGAGCATTGATTAAGTCGACTTACGAAAGGAGGGTAGTTTCCATTTTCTGTTCCATTGTCCTAAATAGCCCTATATTACGCTATAGTACCCTAGGAAGTGGCAGACTTCTGTTCCGGCTTCTATACTCTCGTTACGTTGCGCATTCCCAAGGACATCCCTATGACGATGTCACGTACCTCACCGATGGTTAATGTGATCGCCAGACCTTTTGGCATGGCACCAGTGAGGTGCCGAATCGTTTAGTACTTGAGCTTTTGCTGTTGAAGAGCCACGGCAGCCTTAGGAAACTCTTTATTTGCAGTGTTGATTCCACCCAGTAGCACGGGCAGAACAGGAGCATATAATAGAATGGACTGGTGCTGCTGTGAGTGTTGAACAAGTACAAGGTGACGGATGAGCGAGCCGTGTACTAGTCCGACACCTCTTTAGGATTCAGCCGCCCGTTTGAGGGTACCAGTTTTCCCAGTGCACCATGCTAAGCAGAGAAAAGGAGCGCGTGTGCCCCAATCGTGACTTAAGCATGTCGGCTCACTAGCCCGAAGTTTCTAAGTCCAACAGCAACAAACATTCAGGGGGCTTGGGGCTTGGCAGAAGGTGCCCCCGAAGCATTTCGGCCCGAAGACAACTCTCCTGAGCTTGCTCAACCAAGAGTGTTGGTTGGATTAGTGTATACAGCATGAAGCTGCCTTGGATGACTAAAGTAGCCATAGCCCGCACGGTATTTTAAGCTGCTTCTGCCACCTAGCAGTGCAAGATTGGCTTGTGGTCAAGTGCTCCGCAGTAGATTCTGTATACTTTGCTTTTGATCATGGCCACCCGGCTCAGCGACTCAGCTGACCTGAGGACAGCACATCTTTGTTCAGGTCTCGAAGTGTCACATTAACTTGTGATAACAAAGGTTGCCTGTTTGTAGGGTCTGATTGGGTTTGCTACCCGTAGTAACACCTCCTCCGATACTTATCGGAGCAGGGTCCCTGAAGATTGTTATAAGGGTTAGGGCTTGCGGCCTGCGCTTTGAATCAGGGCGTTTTGTGCAGCCACCGCATGAGGATCAGAAGTTTTTGATAGCCCACATGAGATCTGGCATTTTTTTGCTGTGAAGCAAATGAACCGAAATGAACACATCTTACGACCTATGCGGTGTTTATGTACAAGTTTCAGCTTCTCTTGTTCATGGAACGGCAGACCTTCAGCTGTGCCTGAAGGTCGAAGTGCGGCACTTTCAACACTTATGCTCTTCAGCACTACATGAGGGTCTCCCCTCGGTGCGGGAGGCTCAAACACAGGCTGCTGCTATGCTGCGCCTCCCTGTTGACTTTCGGCATGCGACACGGTCAAAGTTTCCGCAGCCTACCAACAAGGAGCATGTCAGCGCAATAGTCATTTTGCGTTTTATAGTATTGAGTACTGTTTTTCTTGGGACCAACGGGAAACCTGACGCAAAAAAAAACAAGCACACGACGTAGATCCATCCTAAGCGTGGGCAGGAGATGTCATCTTGCAACATGGCAGAGCGACGCATCAGGTCGCGCATTTCTTCCTGCAACGTCTTCTCCAAGTGTATGTGACCTCGTTGGGCAAACCTGTTCATCAACTTTTTGTGGGAAGTGCTTTCCCTGTCCAAGTTTGACGACGTGTGCAGGTGCGGTGGACGAGCCGGCTGTCAACAAAGTCAGCAACCCCATGGTGAAGGCCTTCCCGGCTCCATGGCTGAAACAGTTCGTTGTGAGGTGCCATCTCTGCTACGCTTGTCATAACGTGGGATTGCGGGCCCTGCGCAGCCCTGCAAAGCCAGTTGAATGCTCACAGCCGATGGTCATGCAGCCAAGGACATGTCATTTCTCAACTCTTGTGAGATGGCCCTGGGCCCAGGGTCTATGTGCAGGGACCTTGAGCACGCAAGTAGCTCGGGCGAGGTCGCGGGCAATATCATCCTGAACTCCGAGAGGGAGTCCCAGCAGCCTAACGCCCTGCTCGACTCGGGCTGCCTTCGCCACTTGCTTGCAGAAGCACAAGCCTTAAGCTTCTGGATCCAGCGCTTTCCCTTTTGTGTTCCTACCATCTGCTGTCAGGGGCAAATGCGGCGCGTCTGATCTTCTGGGAACCCAGCAAGGTACCTCAGGCTGCACAACAGAGCAATGTGGGTGCTCATGGAAGGAGAAGTCTTGAGCCCGGGGCCGTAGTGCCAAACATTTGCTAACACCATACAGCACGGAAGCTTCAGGGCACAGACACACAATGTGCCCTTCAAGAGTCAAGGCCAAGCGCAACTTATCCAAGCGATGTTCAAAGGTCAAGGCTGCTGTGGTTACTTGTGGCGGGCTTTGTCCTGGTCTCAACTCCATCATCCGCGGGGTCACAAAGTGCCTTTGGAACGTTGCTTGTCTCGAGGAGCACTGCGCACGGAGATGTTTGCTGGTGATTCTAATCTGAGGAGTATGGAGTGCGAGAAATTCTCGGCATCACCGCGGGCTACAATGGCCTCAGCGATCCTGAAACTCATCCTCCCATACAGCTCACAGAGGAAAATGTACGCGAAATCCATATGAAGGGTGGAAGCATTATCAAGGCTGCCAGGCGGGGAAGCTCTTGGGGCTGATCAACTTCAAGCATGCAAGAACATAGGAACGTTGGCCTGGGGCTGCTTGATCATGCGCTGCAAGTATTGTAAGATATTGGAAGCTTTGCCCAGCCTTGCAAGCGCCTGAAATCAGCTTGACTGAAGCAGCAAATGATTCGGCGAGCTTCATTGGGAGAATCATGCTTAAACGTTGCGTAAGCTCATGTGAGCTAGAACGCGCTAAGAGCTGTGCCACTTCTTCCACCAGTGCCACCTGGTACGGACTTCCGAGGTAATGCTGCGCTTTCAGACTGTCAGAGATTTCGAAAGTTTGTGTAGTTTCGGCTTTAGAAAAACAAAAAACCACCCCCCCTGCTGATGACAAAAAGAAGCAGAATGGACACATGTATGTATAGATCTCAAGCCTAAAGAGTGAGAAGGGAGTGAGCTTGTGCTTGGAGGGGTGGCTTCGACGCTGAGAAGATCTGCGACAACTTGAAACGCATGGGCGCTTTGTTCCAATTAGCTCAATTCCTGCTAATACTTTGTGCGCCTATGCTTGGCAAATTATACGGTTGATCCTCTCATGAAATGAGATTGGACGATTTCGGGCAACAGTCTTGCTAATCTTGTTGTGTCACGTTCACCCTGAGTGCAATGACATGTGACCGGCGCACTGCAGCGGGGGCTTTGCGTCCGCATTCCGGCAGAGAGAGAGACAGAGATGGGCTCAAAAAAGTAGTTCGCATGTTTCTTCATGTCTGTGCCGAGCAAGTGAGGCATCACCGTTCTTTTCTTGGTGGGTGGAGATGGCACACAGTTCGCGGGCCATCTGCTGTATGAAGCAGCACGAGCCTCAACGGCAGATTAGCATTGGCCGCCAGTTTTCAGATTTAGTTGGTCTGCGAAGTCTTCAGATGGTCTTCTCACCATCCACGCCTTGGTTCTGTATACTATAGCATTCAAGCAGGCAATCCCTCAGAACCATGGCACCCTCTGGAGTCCAAGGAAAGCGGCAACTTGCTGTGAGCATTGTGGGCATTCCCAAGTCCATCGACAACGACGCATGATTTGGAGTTGAGAAAGTTCTTTCGCAACGAATCTTTTAGCTGGACGGCCGTGGGCACTGGACCAGCATAATTATGGAGCTGCGTATGAATCAATGAAGCACTGCGGGTAGCTCAGATGTCAACTCAGCTATCGCATCGTTGCACTTGTTAGGATGTCATCCTGTTTGACCGAACGTTTGGCTTTGAGACCGCTGTGGCAAAGGCCCGCAGGATTTGGAAGGTTTGTTGCGATCAAGCTGTTCATCCAGTCAACAGGATGGCATGCATTGGAATGACCTCCCTGAGAAGCCCTGCGAGGCATCGGAAGTGATTCGGAATGCCTTGGTGGAAGCAAGCAGCTGCGATCGAGGCGCGGCGTCTCCGCTGTAGTAGGTAGGCCGTAGGCGGATATTGAATTCCTAGCGCATAATTGAGGACCCGTAAGATCATCCTTGGGTCTGTAGAGTACCCCTGTTCGAGACTTTATTATACCGGGAAATCACACATGTTTGCCGCTGAGTCTGGCCCAGGCGTGGGCATCGTCAAGCTGATGGGACGGGACTCTGGCTTTGTCGCCATGCATGCGGCCACTGCTGCAGACGTGGTGGATCTCTGCATGATCCCGGAGGAGCGGAGGAAGTATGTTATGAATCCATGGAAGGGATAGTTTTCCAAGCCTGTTCCTTATCATCCTCAATCTCCTGCATTGAATAGGGCTTTACTTGCCACGAAAAGACTTGCCAGAAAGCTGTAGCCAGTTGCACCAACTGATTGAATAGCGTGCTTGAGAGGGCATGTTTTGCAGGGAAGCTGCGAGGGCTTCCCATAGCCAGGAGAAGAAGATGGGCATGTCTTAAGATTCCTAGAGATTCCTTGACAGCCGGGCAATGCAAGTGGGCCAATGCTTCATCCCTGAGGTAAAAGTGGACATGAAACATGTCATCGAACATGTGGATGATACCTTGGCCAAGAAGAAGTACATGGTGATTGCTGTTGCGGAAGGGGCAGGGCAAGAGCATGTATCCACTGGGAAGCAGGATGCCACAGGCCACACAATCTACGGCGACATTGGTGTTTTCCTAAAGGACACCCTCAACAAGCATTTGAAGCTAAGATGCACTTCGTAGCCACTCCATGACCCCACATCTCAGTTCAGAAACAGGTCAGGCAAGCATGGCAGAATGAGCAATCGACCAGTTCTGGACAGAATCCAAGAGACGTGCGCGCAGGGGATTCATCTTGCATGAGGCTGTACTTGCTAGCCGGGATTGTGTGCTGCAGCAAGATATTCACTGCTTGCGGTATCCCAGTGAATGTAATCACGAGAGCGCTCAGCAGAAGCGGCCCACATCATGACATCATTTCACCTGCATTTGAGGAAGCCCACCGGTGGTCGCACCTTCTACATAGACCCTTCCTACATCATCAGATCTGTGCCAGTCACTCCAAACGACCACATCTACTGCGTTCGCCTTGCCAACGACGCCGTTCACACCGCCATGCGTGGATACACCGGAGTCTGTGTGGCTTGGCCCAGCACTTCACCACTTTGTCTCGTCAACTGTCACCCGAGAGCCACTTGCAAAGCTTCTAAGTGCAGGTGGGTGCTATGCACAACGTCGTGTGCATGCTCCCCTCGAGGCCACTGATCTTGCTGTGATTGTGACTTGGGTTTGTCCAATTATCAATGGTCGCTTGTGAAACGGTTGAGTCAGGTGAGATTTCATGACACACGCGAAAACATAGCTTGCCAGAAGCTCACAATATCCTACGAAAGAGAGCCACAAAGCGCCAGTCGCAAGTCGTGGCTATTGGCACTGAGTATCCAAAGCGGGCGGTCATACTGCCTGAAGGCTTATCGCTAGCGGCAAGAAGAAGGTCAGGCCGCACAGTACCTCCTGGCAAGGGTGTGCCCGAGACTTAGTTGAACTGGGGGTCCTCTCTGGAGTGAAAAGCTTGCCTGGAAGCTCAGAGCTTGCAGGTCCAGACCTGCAACATGCCCGCGACTCTCTCCGGTCTCGGCGTATGAGGGATTGATTTAGACGGGCACGTCGAAGTGCCTTGTAAAGGTACACGCTTGTACAGGCGCTTACTTTCTCACGCAGCTTGCCAAGCCGACTACAGCGGCAGTGGCACTTTCTTAGACAACAGCGTGGTTGTGCATACAGGTCCGCCTCACAGTCTGTACAGGTTGCGGCGGCTTGGGCTTCTCGCCAACACTGGCTGGTGCTGCATTGCAGGCTTGCCACATGCTGTCCAGGTTATGGTTTGCTCTGTAGCTGGAAACTCTTTGAGGTGGCATCAGAGCATCAACGAACCCCTGCTCATGAGCTGGCCCCTTTTGAAAGGCTAAGCCTGAGCAGAGACATTGCACCGATCAGTTGATGGGACATGCCGAATTCTGCATCAAAAACGAACGGTTATATACATACCCTTGCGGTGCAACAGCAAAAATGGTGGTGGGGGGAGTCCTGCGGGAGGGTTGTTTAGGAAGCATGCTCCTGGTGCGCTGCTGGTGGGCTCACAGCTGCAAAGACGTGAAGCCATTGAGCGCTTTAGACTGCTTGGATTTCTTGGACCTTTCAACTCCAGCATGCAGCAGCCAGGACAGGTCTGGAGTTTTCTGTGGAAGAGTTGCAAAAGTCCATGCTTTCTTGAGGAGAGCAAGTCTACGAACTCGCCCAGCAGAGCT